CAGGGTTTGAGGAGGCCAAAAAGACAGTCCTCTTCCACTCCTCTACTTGAGCCTGTCCAGTTTGAATCTCGGCAGATATACAGAGCTGCTGGTTGTTACTTTCCCTACAGGAGCCTTGTAGCAATATAGGGTTCAAAAGTAGTGGCTTTTGAGCCCTTGCTCTGCTCCAACCTTGGCCTTCAGAAGGTTGCTTCAGAGGCTCTGGCCTGCCCTTAACTCCTATAGACCTTCTCAGTGAGATCAATCCCAAAGTGCAGCCATTCGTGGCCGGGTGCGCAGCCACATCTGTGATCCCAGGTTCGTTTGGAAGTTTACGTGTGCCAAGGGGTTTTCTCCTGTTGACGATAGAGCATGAGGATGCGTAAGGATCCTGGCCTCTGAGAGCTGTAGTGGGGAAGTGGGAAATGAACAGTTGGATGGTAGTATAGGGTTTCCCAAAAATTACATGTGATTCTGAAATGCCTGTAGTGCACTGTGTAGTGCTCTGGGCCAGGAGGCGGGCTGCATGGATAAAAAGGCATGTCTCCTCCTCTCTAGACCCCTTGGAGCTAGGACAAAGCAGGTGCACACAGAAAGACGGCAGTTTTGCTGGGTATGTGGATAGGATTGCAACAACAGAAGAAAACTTTTTTTTGAGGCCAAGGTTAGAGATTGTAGTATAGCAGATACCTTCTTTCCTTGGCAAAATGATGCTTCCCTTGCTGCCTTACAGGCAATATTCAGATGTGCCAGCCTGCCAAGAAGAGGACCCGTTTGCCATCCATGTTGCAGAGATAATAGTATTGGTCTTTAGCACTGTCATGTGCTACTCATCACCCATGACCTGTGACCTTAAAGGGCCCTCAGTGGAGCACCTTGAGAATGTGAAGGGTTTCGGGCCCCCGGCCCCCACTTCCTTCCACAAATGAGTGTTTCAGGGACTCTGAGTTGCTGGCTTGGCTGGAAGGTACTGGGCAGGCCTCATCAGGCAAGTGCTTCCCCTCTTCAGACCATAGTTTTCTCTACTTAAGGTGACACAAGGGACCAGATCAGTGGGCTTTAAATGCCCTGGAGAGCCTTGGCGGTTTGGTGGCAACCTCCTAGGGGAGAGGGCTGGGTGAACTGACTGGTAAACAAGGCTGCACTTTAATTATTTGTTTCATATGTTTTCGTTTCTGGCAAAATTTAGAAGTTTAAAAAACCCTGATTAAGTGATCTCTAGGGTTCCTTTGTATGCAAAAGCAGCTGAAGTTGAAATAGGAAAGAGCCCCAGACACTCATACTAATATTCCCTTCAGGACCTGACCTAGTTTGGGCCTAAAATCCAAGGACTGCAGTTCAGGCACAGCGGGCCTGCAGGAATGTCCAGCTTGTCAGCAGCTGCCTTGTGGGAAGGTCTCTGGCCCTGGTGGAGACTGGTAATCTGTTTTGTGCCCAGCTAGGCAAGGCACTGAGACAAAGAAAAGAAGACCCAGAACATGCCCAGGAGAGCTTTTTAACCAAAGAAAGAAAATTAGAACCATTAAAATACAGTAAAATCAAATGTAATTAAGTTCTCTAAAGGTCTGGAGTGATTCTTGGAAGAGGTGGGCTTCAAAGGAGGCAGATTCAGATATCTTCCCACCATCTGGGTTAGGGGAAGCAACACGATCATGACCTGGAGATTCAGATGGGAGTGACCCAAATAGACCACAGTGCCTGATGCCGTACTCGCCGTGTTGGTTTCCTGCCATGGAGAAAATTACTCCACTCTGTCACTCTTCTTTCCCAAGCCCTTGTGTCTCCACAGTGACAAGTGACTCTTGGATGTATTTGCAGATCCCCCTCCGCCGCAGCAGCAGCAGCCGCCACCTGCAGATGGAGTCCCTCCACCTCCTGCTCCAGGCCCACCTGCCTCGGCCGCACCCTAGCCTGGAAGATGCTGGGAGTATCCACGCCCAGTGCCACCAGCTGGAGTGGGGATGACAAGACTTATGTTCCTCAGCTTCCTTGGGTTTCTTTCAGGATTTTTCTTCTCACAGTCCCAAGCACGCATCCCATATCCCCTCTCTCCCCGTTGTTCTTGCCACCCTCACCATGCCCTGATACCCCTTGTGTTAGGTTCTTGGCCAACACTCAGGGGGAAGCCTTGGTGACAGTGTGTCCTGGTCATCCTAAAAATAACCTGCGTCTTCCCTGTCTTGGTGTGGGTATCCAGTCTCCATCGTTGCTGCTCTCCTGCAGTTTTTTGCTCTGTTTTATGCCTCTGGATAATGTTTTATAATCATTATATGTCTATTTTTCTTTATTGCTTTAAAGGAGAGCATTCAAAGTTAATAGGAACCAAAAAATGGTGATGGGCAGGGGATAGCCAACGGGGACAAACCTTAAGGCATTATAAGTGACCTTATTTCTGCTATTCTGAGCTAAGAATGGTGCTGAGGTAAAGTTTCGGGAGGCTTTTATGACATGTATCTGTGCTCAAATCAGAGTGATGGGGAAAGGGACTCCACTGGTGTATCTCTCTAGTGAGGACTCAGGGCCTCCACACCCCATAGGTGCCTGGGAGGGGAGAGCACATGCATTAGCACAGATCACCCCCCCCCC